ATTAATCCGGGCTCACCCAGGATCTTCGTTCTTCCGGCTCATCACGTTTCTTGTCGCCTCCATCATTTCTCAAATACGTAGAGCCCCTATTTTCCAGAAATAACGCATTCAAATACACTCACCCCTTCCATTATGCACCTCCGATTGGAACAGCCTTCCCTCGAGCTCGGTGGCCAATAATAACTGTACTAAGTTCTAGCAGGAAGCTGTCACATTTTCTTTGTAATGTCTATGTAAGGATGTTATGCATCTCTCCCCCAATTTTTACTTAAAAAAAAAAGTGCGTTTGATTATTTAAGAAAAGCCTCTTTGATCAGCCGATGATATTGCGGCATTTGTTGATAACAAGGCCGAAGGGCCCATCCCGAAGCGAGAAGCGTAGACCCAATAAGCCCTACGCCTTCCCCAAACTGTCAGTAACTAGAGTGAACCATATGGCTCGGCTGCAAACAAGATATCGCGTCTGGAGCGCGCCTCCAGCCAATCCCAACTCGTCGAGGAAGCAAGATGGCGCCCGTGTCACGCCTCCAGCCAATCGCGGCCAGTCACGGAAGCAAAGACGGCGACCGGGTTTTCATTTGACCTGCGATACACTGACAAGACTCGAGTGACTCCACGAGCACAACAAGAGCAGAGAGAGAGAGAGTCACGGAGGTTACCTCGGCAGTTACGGTCGTCGTCCGGGAAGTCGTTTCAAGACGTTCACGTGCGGTCACGCCCACGCTGCCTTCGCTCTGAGGCGGCGGTGTATTAAGGTCGCCAACATTACAGGTAGACGCACATCCTTGGGCGGGAGTTCTCGAGGCGCTTTCGTCCATAGCGCCGTCGACTCCGACATTCCGGGACGACTGGCGATACCACCCACGCAAAAACGCACGAAAAAAAAAAAAACTACAATTTTTTCTTTTATGTTAATAATTGTAATCGTGTTGCGTTTATACAGCCGGGAGTGAGTCAGCCTCAGGGGGCATCTGGTGTCTCAGCTGTAGATGAGAAATTTAGCCGCTGCAGAGCACGGGCCTTGGATAAACCGTACTTAGCCGATAGGTCACACGGGTATCCGCAATCGCAGTTAGGTGTGACTGCTGTCACACTTAACTGCGGTTACCCGTGTTGCTATAGGGTATAGTTAGCAGTAACTGCTAACCTTATACTTAAGCGTAACGGCGGATTAGGATACCCGTCGGGCACACTTAACCGCGGCCAAGTCTAGACCTCAGTAACACTAAACTGCGGTAACAAGTGTCGAATAACTGGGGTAATACTGATCTGGAAACTTTCACGGTTTCCGCTAGTAAATTTAGTCACCGCAAGTGGCACTGACCCATGCAAAAAAAGAAAAGAAAAATAGAAGCCAGAATATTGTTTTCCTAAATCTTCAATATTTTTTTAAGCGGATGGTTAAGCAAGCGGTCCAGTATACGAAATAATAAAAAAAGATATACTTTTTATAACCCACGCGTTTTTTTTTTTTTTTTTGCGTGTTTCTAAGCGGGCGTAAATCACCATGGCGGGTCATTTTTATTTAGTGACAGATCTTGCATATTAGTAGCATTAGCGTCATCGGAATGCTGGCACACTTTAAACGAACTCTATTGGCGACGTGCGGAATCAAAAGTGTCGCTGTGGTCGGCCTTCCACCATTGGCCGAATGCTGACTATGACGTCAGCAAAGGTTTTCTTATGAACAGAAGTAAGAGGAATGTAAGAACTCCCATTTTCAAGGTGTTGGTAGTGTTGCTTTCAAAGCGCTATGATCTCAAGTTTCCACCATGCTAATTACAAACACCGTCGAACTTGTTGTTCGTAAGGCAATAACGTCACGATAGGAAACCATAGGAGGGCGCCACCAAAACATCTAGCCGCTAATAGGAAGTATTCATTGGCGGCCATAGCTGTGTACACGACTGCTGAGCGCGGGCTGATGGCGAGCTTCCACAGTTCTCTTGTAACGTGCATTCCGCACCCTCAAGATTGCAGGTCTTAGCAGCCTATTAATGTGGGCTCGTTCAGAGCATGCGCTCTAGACATCACCCACAAATATGGCGCCCAGTGAATACTTCTTATACGTTAGTTTCTCTCGGTATTTTTGGTCCGATCTGTCGCTTGCCTTCGCACACCTAGCCCTGGAACATGCTTATATATATGTGCCTATATGTATGCGCCAGACATAGCTCAGGCATTAAAAAAAAAAAAAAAACTTTACTTAAAGCAATTACACTTTTATATTGTTACTATTCTACGACGAACAGACAAAATGCAGGCGTGTTTTCACCATATGCAGGAACAAGAGTGCCAGAGAGAGTATTCACTGGACGCCATATTTGTGCGTGCTGTTTAGAGCGCATGCTCAGAACGAGCTCACATCAACAGGCTGCTAAGACCGGCACTCTTGATGGTGCGGAATGCACGTTGCAAAAGAACTGTGGACGCTCGCCATCACCACGCGCTCAGCATTCGCGCACACAGCACACAGTATATAGACTGGCCACTGTCTGCTTCGATTTGAAAGCGTAAAGCCGGCATCACACAGAAGACAGTCTGCAAACACGAGTGACCCCAATGTCCGTGGTTCGAATCCCGCGTGTCAATCTTTATCCTCGAACTCTATTGCCCTGGGGCATTCGAAGCACGGATCCCGCGGTGACTCGCATTCGAATCTGAATGCGGAGCGTCTTTTGTACGATGCATAAGCAGTGTGACCCCGGTTTAAGTCACGGAGGCCGGTGCCGGCTGAACCTCTAGCGTACATAATAATAATTCTATGTCGCGTCCAACCTATCCCATCTGTGTCTCCCATTCCATCTCACTGCGACGACGTCAAAATTCCAGTGCACGGGCTTTCGATTATCCTAGGTGACGTTGGCCCTCCCAGCCCAGACCTCTCTACACGTGCAACAAAAACACGATTGTACGAGCCGCCGCTGTCACTTCGAACAAGACTGCGTGTTTACGCGAGTTCATCGAAGCATCCCCGAGACACGCTTCAGCGTCCACTACGCACGTCCGCGCGACAAAAAAGCGCCAAGCAGCTAGCGTTGACATCCGATCCTCGGGGTGTGTGTTTCTTCAGGAGCGACAGGCGCAGGAGTCAGTCTGGTGGATCCCACGTCAAACAACGCTCACCTCAAAGTCGACGCGACACAGAGTCAACGCGTCGCTCGGAGACGGATCGACGGGAGGGGCGAGGGAACAATGCACGCTTCTTGTCGTCGCGGCGAGGAATGTCGGGTCGACAAACACGCCGACGCGATAAGAGAAGACCCACACAGGAGCCGCGCCCTTGAACTGTTCCCCGCGACGCGGTGGCGAATCGAATCCGGGTAGAAATGGAGAGAGAGGAAGGAATGAGGGCGCACGGGGACATCAGCAATGGACGCTGGCGTTCGTACGCGTTCGAGCAGTGATCCACTAGGCATTCCAACCAGAGATCGGCGTTCTGACGTCCCCGCACTCTCTTATCTCATCCTTTTCCTCAATAGAGAGCTTTCCAAAGTCACGTGCTCGTTGTTCAAAGGTCCAAAAAACACTGTACAACGGCGAAGCGAGCGACACCAGAGAATAGGAGATCCTAAAACTGCATAAGATAGAAATGAAGTGTCGTTAGTAGAGTTTCTAAAGTTCCAACATTGGCGGTGTCCTTTTGTGTCCTCCATTGCGCGGGGATTCTACAGTTTCCAACAGAGGACACGCTTTCAAAAGATGTCTACCCGTACAAAGCTACGTTTTTACGGTGCTTCGCTCTAGACTACGTCGAAACGCGATAGCATTTGCGTGTGTCTCTTTCGTGAAGGACGCATTCCGCTGATTGAAATGTGGGCCGGTATGCAGTGGGAAGGTAACAGAAAAGCTAGAAAAAGTCGGATGAAAAGCTGTTGACGTGTTATACCCTACGATGACTTTTTTCAACAACTTTTCAACAAAAAAGCACTACAGATCTTTTGGTGTGTTTTTTTATGAGGGATAACACTTATTACAAACCGCTTTCGAACGCATATGTACTCTACAGGAAGCCGTGGAATCCTTGCACATGGGCGGACACAAGCGCGAGTTCCTCGCGTTCAATTACACAAGCCCTCGTGCAGCGGCAGCTACTGACAGGGTGTCGGTTGGTTTGCCATCGGGCTCACGACTTCGGGGGTCCTGGGGTCAAAAATCTCTTAAGCAGGTTCCTCAATGAAATACGACAGCATTGTGCACCGTACTTAACTTGCAGGCTCATAAAAGCCCAGGCGACTAAAGGCCTGGTCGGCTTCACGAAGTGCCAGGCGCAGCTGGCATTGAGAGGCGCCCGCATACACCGATCCCGTCAGACTGGTTGTTTGCCGATTCAGCTAATCGACGTATTGACGACGCCAGCGACGTTGCACAAACCACAGTTATTCCGAGTTCACGTACGCCAAAAAGGAAAAAGGAAACGCGACAATACCCGAGTTAGTGACTCGACCCAGTCTAATCATCCGTTATCACTATTACGTCACCATTATCGCCGGTGCAGATACGTTATTCGGGGCACGCATGCCGACCGCAGAATAGCTGATAGGAGCGCGTACATAGATAATAAGTGACAAGGCGAGCAGCGGCATGCACGTGGATTGCACACAAGATAACCTATTCTCCGTTTCACTCCGAGTCCGACCGCAACCGCAGCCGACGATCCGATGTCGCCAATCAAGCGGCCGATCAAAAGAAGGCAGCCGGCGAAAAAGCCTTTCGACCAAAGAGCCCGCCGACCAAAAAGGCAGTTGACCAAAGAGACTGACGACGAGTCGGTTTGACCAACGAATAGTGAGACTGGAAAGGAAACTTGAAGACAAAGCAAAGAGGGAAATAAGAAATTGGACAGCAGACGGCATCCCTTTTGCTTTGTCATCAAGTTTCCTTCCCAATCTCAGAGTTTAAACATCACGATTAATATACGCACATATATACGCCTGCATATTTGAGTTTTTTTTTTTTTTTTTTTTTTTTTTTCTTGTCTTTTTATTAGTTGTCTTTACCTGCAGTTTCGTCGGAGGCCGGCACTTCGACGGGTCGGTGTTCGACGGGCCGGTGTTCGTCGGGAGTCGACGGCGGGTCGTCGGCCGGCGGTGCATCCACCCGAATTTCGGGCAGAGTGGGTAGGGTCGGTCCGCCCCGACCGTTCGCGACACCCGGGGGGCGACTCTCGTAGCCAGGACTGTTGCGTCCGTCCTCGGACGGCAGCGTGAACGAGCGAGACTTGCGTCCGAAGAGCCGCATATTATCCCTCGGTCCGCAGTCACGGCACCACAATCACCACCACTCCCCCCTTTCCGATCAAAAAAGGGACACTCTCACGCACCGTCCCGAAGAATACCTAGTAACTTCTCCAACCGCACACACCTTTTTCTTCGACGAAATTAAACGTCAGACCGACTTCCGGAGTAGTCGCAACGCCTGCGACTTTTGACAGCTCTATCCGAGTCACTTCTCCGGCGTCACAAAGGAATCGGCGACAGTCGCGGCAGAATATCGTCAGTCCGGTGCGAGACGCAGCGCCTCCTCGAACAGGGCTCGAAGGTGTCACACTAGTGAGGTCGTCGATCCTTACGCCCGGCGATCGCCCCCTCACCAAAAAAGAAACACGAAAAACGGGCCGGGAATATCCTCGACGAGAAGAAGCAAGCGTCGATAATCCACTCGAAGACGACGGCCCCGATTCGCACACCCGCGCACAAGACGAGTACGAAAACAGACGTGTGGCGACAGCACCCAAGTATAGAAAAGGAAAACACACTACAGCGGCAGCAGTTGTAGACCGAACCAGCGTCGACGGCGGCGGAATGAAGGCTCGAGGTTTAAGAAGAACTCGCTTGGGCGCCGACGGGCTGTGCCGACTGCGCTCCCCGACGCCGTCGCCGGCGTTTGCGCGACGCTAAGCTGACGCTAAGCTACGCCGAAGCGAGCTGCTGCAGATGGGCACGCACGCACACGCGAAACTCGTTGGAGAGATCGTCGTCGCGACTGCCTGCCTGCCTGCCTTGCCTCGCGACCTCGACGACTTGCCGTCCGCTATCTCATCTCATCGGTAGGCCTTAGGTAGAAGGGAGGGAGCGAGTAAATGCGACTTCCTCTCTCTCTCTCTGACACTCTTTCTTCCTCCTTTCTCTCACTCTCTCTCGATCACGAAGTTCTACGCTACCGCGCTAACGGGCGGAAATTCTTTCTCTTTTTTCTTTGTGTTCGCTCTCCTTCGCACGTTTGATTTCTTCAGCGCACATCGCTGCCGCCGATACAAGCTTTACTCAAGGAGGAAAAAATGAGAGGGGTTGTCCGGTCGTCGGCGCACGATGCGCACGATGCGTGTGTACGGGCAATACCGACTAGAAGACAAGGCCTGCGCGCATGACGTCACTACTGGTGAAGTATCGGTGGAAACTTTTTTTAGATTAAAATATATGCTTAGCGCGAAACAATTGAAAAAGGCGGAATCCTCCGCCAGGTGGCGTAAAGGTCCTTCTCTATTTCCACGCGTGCGCTTAATAGTCGAACTTCGATCGAACCGTCGTTGACGAGTTGAGTCGGAAAACTTGGACAAAGTCGAATCTGGTCGACTCGCGATAAAACGCAGAGGGACGCTATGAGCCATTAAATCCAATCCAATAATGTCTGACTGACACGTGACCTTCGGAGGGGACACAGCGACCAGCGAAACAAATACTAATAAAAAGAATAAAAAAAACTCGAAAAAAAAAGTTTTTTTTTTTCCTCTTTGCTTAAAAAGCGGGGGAAAAAGAGGCCTTATTCCAATTTTTAACGAGCCTATTCTCCGAATTTCTGTAACACACGGTAAAATTGACATCAATCGCCACGTCCAAACTAAAAGTAATATCACACGTCATTGTGTCGGCAGTGCAGGCGGAGGGGAAAAAAATAATAATAATAGTTTCATTAGTACAAAGTGATTCACATACATTGATTACTGCCTCACGAAAGCACCTGCGTGCTTGTGTGTGAGAACAGGCAATCCATAAAAGAAAAGCAAAAAAAAAAAAAGAGAGAAAAACAAACGAGAGTAAAATACACAAATCTCAATTTTGACACCACATGTTACAAACTTAGCTTTATGTCATCGTTGCACATTACCGCGAAATAAAAGCATACAGACTAAATAAAGCATGTCACACGCTTTCCAATTACGTTCAAAAAAAAAAAATCTGTCTATGCTATTTGCCCTATACAATCATATATTTTCCATTGTACTTCGAACACACTTTACCATACAAGATTTGTATCGATCACAAAAGGAACGGTGCGATGACGAAGCAAGAGATAGAAAGTGGGAGGAAACATCACATAGTGCACGCGGTTGTCTGATGCCTCTATCCGTAGCGTGTAACATCAAATGAGCATTGTTCTGCTGCTCACTACGTATAGACCCTTTTAAATTCACAACTCCAGCGCGCCGCTCGCCCTCCCGCGGACGAACGAAGAACCAGACGAGCGGGGACGGCAGCGGCGGCGGCGGCGGCGGAAACGGTGGCAGGAACTGTCAACCTTGATGTGTGAAGCCGTTTTAACGAAAAAAGTGAGCGCGTTGAAAAAGAAAATCTTGTGCTCCGCCTTGCAACAGCCGTGCACGAAGGATTGGGATGTCGAATTTCATTAGGGACTTTTCGTGTATCGCATACGCTGCGGATTTCTGGTCTTGTGCATGGCCGCCAGCTCAATCTGTATACTCAACGTGACGGAAAACGCTCCCGCTAATAATGAAGAATTCTATAGTACGGTCTACGGAAAGTCTATTCTTTACCATAAGTAGGAGAAAACTCGTGGCGCAACGGTATGTCGAGCAATACAAATCGGGAATGAGTTCGCGTTTTAAGGCCGTTACAAGGAACATGACTATTTATTCCAAGCACTTACTTGCTTTCAGGTAATTACAAAGCAAATAAAAAAATGCTCGAAGCATTTCAAGCGCGTCTGTGTTAGCCAGCCGTTCGTGACGAGAGCTTAGAACGCGCAGTTTTGGCCAGAGGGACCGCAATGTTGCAAATAACGCGGTACAAAAATGTACCGTATATTAAAATATTTCTTTTTGATAGAGCGATAAAAAAAAAAAAAAAACCTAAACACGCCGATTATGTTAATAGGCAGTTTTTGCATAGCGTACGACACCCCTAAACTTCAGTTGGACGTACAGCGCACTGACGTTCAACCGGCGCTACCAACTTTCACGAGCGGCTTGTGCAACTTATTAAAATAGCTTAAGTAAGTGTAAGTGACTGTAAAAAAAGAAAAAAAAAGTAATCGGGGTTTTCTTGGCTTTCCTGCAAAACCACGTTTTTTTTTTTTTTTTTTTTTAGAGTGATGAGCACGGCAACGCTCCTGGCGCGCACTGAAAATTGTGCTTCAAAGGCGCAGTGCGAGCTTGAGGTTGTAATGCTACACCGCACGGTAGCCTGCGGTAATAAAATTTTATATCAATAAACATAGAGCAGTTTGATTACGTGTACACCAAAAACCGAGACGGTCAGCATCGAGTTCTGAGGCAGTGACGCGAAGACACCAATACTGTGAACGCTGCTCTTCCGAAGCTTGACGGTCACCTCGTGGCTCTCTTTTTAGAGCAGTAATGGCCAGGCAAAGTGCAAACATAATACCTTCATCATCCTCGAAAATATTTTGCAACAAACAGTAACGTGGCCGGTGCCTAAAACGCGTTCGCTCACGACAAAGCTTCGCAATTTGAGGTTTCTGCAACTTCTAAATAACAGCATGCTCGTTTTCCTAACGTGCATCAGCATGTCCGTCACCTGTAATATGATCCCTCCCTAACCGCTTCGCATTTGTAGGCAAATAAATCATTTTTAGCGCGCTGAGCAGCGTCAGCGAGCAGGCGCACAAAATATTCTGGAGAATCTATCCCCGTCTCTTCCGCCATCTTGGAACTACCTCCCCGCCACCTACAGGGCGTTGGAGTTGCGAATAGCCCATCGAGCAACAAAAGCAATCGTCATCGCTTGGACACGTATAGCGCGTCACTGAATTCGAGTCCTCGCCGACCGGGGAAGTTTCAGAAAGTTTAAAACAGATGATTGATAACCTAGTGCTGCCTGACATTTGCCCCTTGCGGATGCATGCGAACAAGCCGATTTGTTTGCCATCTATCGCGTATTTCCACGTTTTGGTGGTGTGTGCGATTGGAGAAGTTACGAGGTATTCTTCGCGACGGTGCGTGAAAGAGTGTCCTTTTCTTTTCTTTTTTTTTTTTCGAGATGGTTTATTACGACGAGGCGCGACGAAGTTTGCGAATCAAAGAGTATACGTTAACGATAATCTACGTACGGTCCGAGCTTCTTCGTGAGCAAAGAAAGCGGACATTATTGTAGATCTGTACCGCATTGCTCCTACCCAACTTCGAGGGGGGGGGGGGGGGGGGGGGGGAACGGAGCAAGAAAGAGAGAGAGAGACACACAGAGGGAGGGCAGAAAACGAGAGCGTTAGGAGGAGCGCCTTTCGTGCAGGGCAAAAAGCACATGCGTGGCATGCGTGCGTGGCGGATCTCGGAAAGAGCGTTTTAACGGGGACGACATCTCTCTCGCTTTTATTACTTTTTTTTTTTCCTTCATATTTTCTCGTAGTTTTCGCAATTTTCCGACTTGTCGGAGAATCCGAACAGCAGGCACGCCGAGGCCACGGCGGTCTCGACTTGACACGTGGCCTCGAGCTAAACGGGCACAACATGCCACTGTCCTCTTTTTTTTTTTTTTTTTTTGCGGTATTTTGTAGTGTTTGAGCCTATTATGACGACAGACAGTCGCGCGTAAAACCAAAAGCGCGCGTTGTTTGTTTTAAGACACGGGCTGGCGTTAAAAAGGCTGGCCATTAGCACGTTTGCCTTTCAGTGCGGGCGAGTCTGTAGGGAGGTATACCTAACTTGCGACTGCTCACCACGACAGAACACGACGCGTCGTTGGGAATTGGTGAGGGAATCGGCGTGTGACGTGAGGTACATTTTCCCGCTGTATTTAGAGGGGAAACTGAATTGGCTGTACATAGGGTAAGGTGACGTCGATTTCCCCGAGCCAAATTTAGCGGGAGAAACTGGACTGGAGTCGCCAGACGCGAATTTTCACGCCAAATTTAGCGGGCAACTGAATTGGGATGTATAGATCGCGTGACGCCGATTTCCCGAAACATCTATGAGCGAGAAAACGGAATTGACGCTTTGCAAGAAGACGCACATTTTCCGTTTAAAATTTTGCGGGGAAACTGAGTTCACGTACAGGTCACGGGCCGTAAACTTTCCCAAAGTGCGTAAAAACATTTCATATGTAAAAAAAGAAAGAAAGAAAACCGAGATCTCGATGCATTTATGGTATACGTGATTGGTTGAGCCGGGGAAGGCAAACGTGCAAAGAAGACGACCACCACCATGACGGCGCCATGTTTTTGCTACTCGATTATTCGAAGCGCAGTACGTCTGCACATTCGCAATGCCGAATGTGCCGAATGCCGAATGTGCTGATGAAACTTTAAGACAAAACGAGTTTTGTCTTAAAATTCCCTCAGCTAAAATCCACCACTTCAATGCACACTCAGTGAAAGTTTGAGCTCGCCAGGTGCAGGCGCAGATTTTTCCCGCTCGTTTTAGAGCGCAGAGTTTCGTTATGAACACCATGCATAGAATGGGATAGTTCGTGTATTGAAAATAGGATACGGTCGCAGTTTCTCCAAAGTAGTGCCACGGTTGGTCGCTATGCGAGCCGGACGCTGCGTGCATGAACTGAGCTCTTAGAGAAATGTCTAAGGGACGAAAAAATATCCAGTTTGTGACGTCATCAACTGGTCGCCATCAAAAGGGAACATATCGGGTACCACGTGAGTCAAAGCTATGTACTTTTATTTTCTCGTTTTTTAATGCGGTTTGAACATTTTTTTTTATTCTAGCTTTTTTTTTTTATTGTCTTATTCACTTCAAGAACAGTTCTAAAAAGACCGGATTTCTACGAAGCACGATTTTCCTTCTTTACGTGACGAGTCTAGATATATGCAGGAACATTTGGGATTAGCTGCAAGTTATTTTATCAAGACGTAC